CCCCACACACACACACTCACACGAACAAATATCCTCACGTGTTCACATTTACACATGCACACATACTCACAGACTCACATGGACACATACAGGCCTCAACATAAGTTAAGGATCACCTTGACAGACAACCTTGATTTTTTTTTTAATCCGAAAAAAGACACCAAGAAATGTTTGCTATGAAAATGTTAAAGGGTTACAAATGTGTACTACAAAGCTTCCTAAAGGGTCAAAACAACCACGTGCCGCGTGGAAATCGTCGGGGAATTTTAGCCAAATTTGCAAGTGGTCCTTAACTTATTTTGAAGTCTGTCCATCGTCATTGTTAAATAGAAGAGAACAAAACCTGCAAACGTTGGTTTCATCATGTTCTATGTTGTGCCATAAACACTTGAAAAATTTGGATTTTTTAAAAGATTATTATTATTTGCGAGGGTAAATATTCGTTTGTTTTTAATATAGTCATTTGCTTTGAAACGAAGATACAGAAATGCAAAAAATGAAGAAAGAAACGGGAATACGAATAGCAAACAAGAACATTTACCTGGTTTAACAATTCGGATAATGTCCTTGAATCCGGATTTCGGAATATGATTTTCTCCCATAGCGGCACAGATTGTTACCATGTCGTAAGATTCTGTGTAAGAAAAACAATGAAGCTTATAACCTGGCCTTTTATAAGAATGAATTATTCAAATAAATAATTAAAGTCTACTTTTAACTTCTTAGCTTTGAGTTTACTAAACACTTTATGATTATAAATCAAAGTTGTCTGATCTGGAACACAATGGAAGGTATTTGGTATTGTATCGCTTTTATTAAAGTTTTAATGGTTAAGTTGGCCTAATCAGTCGCTGAACAAGATTATGCTGGCACGCTAGATGGGAATTAATACTTAAGTAATAGAAAGTTGGCAAGTGTGAACCTCTCTGTCTTGTATCACACTGGCACAAATAACGACAGATAAAACATTCGGTCAAAGTTCACCCACTCCCCCCCCCCTTCCTTTCACACACCATAGTTCTAACTGCATAACCAAATGCATAACATCATAGCAGGTTTGCACATGTTCCTCAGCAACATGAAACAGTACGCAGTGATGCAAGGAGACGTTAAGTGAGGGGAAAAGGAGGGAGGGGGGGGGGAGAAAAACACTTTATATTCTATCAGTTGCATGTATGCGTCAGGTGTTATTAGAATAATATTCCAGGCTGACCAACAAGTCATCAGTTCCTTCTAAGTTGGCGAAATGGGGCGCGATGTCAAGCTGAACGATAGTAAATTTTAACTCAACAAAAATGTGGGATTGTTGATGAAAAAAGTGTCGTTATTAAACCAAATTTTAATGCACGTTTAATCATTTTAAGAAGAAGAAGAATTTGAATTATTCGTGTGTGTGTGTGTGTGTGTGTGTGTGTGAGTGTGTGTGT